CAAAGGCCAGACAGAAACCAGGAGGAGCCTGCCGCCCAGGGCACCCCGCCCCCACCCAGGGCTCTCTCCGAGACAAATCACATAGGTCAATGCCAAGATCCCAGCAGTCTGGGGAAGCAGAAGTGGAGCAGACTGGGCACGCTGTGGCCAGCACGCTGACCGTGAGCACACAGCAACATCTGTTCAGTGAGGCCTCTCAGACCCTCTCCCAACACGGACTCTGCGTCACAGAAATGAAACAAGGTGTGTTCTACCTGTCTGGCTCTGTGGGCTGTCTCAGTGCCATGATTTCTTAGGCAGCTCACAGCTCTGGGATCTGGTGACCGGCCCACGTTCCAGTCAGAAACAGCACCACTGTCAATCACCCACTGTAACACAAAACACACGTGTGCACCTTCAAGTTCAAGTACGGTACCTGCCGGGCAATGTGACTCATGGGGACACCGTGCTTCTTCATGCAGTTCTGCCCTCGGTAATCAGGAGGGTTTCCTATTTCATACGTGGAGGTCGCCGCACTGTCTATCCTCCACTGCGGGAGAAAAACAACGTTTTCTCACAATTTCCGGACCCAAAGGTGTTCAGATGGGCCTCTTTACAATAGTGAACAGCACTCACCTTGTCGGAGACATTTTGGTCAGTGACCAGTTTCCTGAAAACTGCTTCTGCGATGGGTGACCGACAGATGTTACCTTGAAGAAAGAGGGAGAGCAGAGGGTGCGTGTCAGGTGTGAAGCAGGGCAGGAGCTGAAAGCCAGCACGGAGGTCCCCACTCCACACAGCACGTTCCGCGAGGGCAGTGCGGGGACAGCATCTGTGTGGATGCTGCCACCCTGCCGGTCGTGAAGGGACCTGTGAGGGACAGCTGGCCACACCCATGGCCGACAGTGTGACACCCACTGTTCCAGTGCTCAGAGTACAAATGAGGAAGAATTACCACCAAGTCACCGTTTCCAGGTTGCTGTCGATGACCCCAACGTGGACCATGAAATCAATGAGGTAGGTTGTGACCAACCATTTCTTTTCTAATCCTCGCCTGAGGACATTTCTTTCATTGCTTTTAGGGAGAGAGAGGAGCACTGGCCAGCTGCCTCCCACACGTGCCGCCCTTCTTCCACTGCAGGACTGCACTGCAACCAACCAGGCCACGCTGGCCAGAGCCACAACCAACCAATTCTAAAATGGAAGAGAACAAAGTCCAAAGCAATGTACTTTCAAGTATTCACATGTAATGAGGGCTACTACTGCTGCATTTCATCAAATATACACCAAAGTCCTCAAGCACGAGAGCAGTCAACTCAAACCTGCCACACAACCTGCATGAAGTCTCTGCTCAAGTGCTGTGGGCTCAGGAGTCGCCCACGTCATAGATGCGGCCTCCAGGACGCCACGCAGGGACCGCCAGGGCCACCCTTGTCTCAGACCAGCTGGCTACCAGTTCGGGAGTCCCACAGGTTCAATTACCCCCTGGAACAGGGGTGTCAGACTCATTGTCACCAGGGGCCACTCCAGCTTCACAGTTGCCTTCAAAGGGCCGAAGGTAATTTGAGGACTATAAATGTAACTACTCCCTAACTAGGGGCAAGGAGCTCCGCGCTGCCACCGGGTAGAAACAAGGTGCCCGGCCACATAAAACAAGGTGGAGGGCTGGACTCGGTCCGCAGGCCTGGTGTCTGCCATCTATGCTCTAGGACTCACAGCATCAGGAAAACGCTGCACTTGAGACTGCAGTTTTACTGTAACAAAAGATACAAAAGAGTACAGACAGCAGAGCCTGGGAGAGCCCCCCACAGAGCGTGTTCCGATGCCAAGGGATGCGCCCCGCACCTAGGACCCCTGAGTGGCAACACTGAGCCCTGGATGCCCCCAAGGGCCCTGAGGCTGGGGGGCCTGGGTTCTCCCTAAGTGGGCATGACTGACGGGATGAGGAGCCGTGGCTGGACCCCACCTCTAGTGCCCCCACGGCTGGGTGGCAGCTGGGCTCACGTAGGGCGGGGCCCTCCCTGAAGAACAAGACTCTCCTCCAGAAGCCAGGGCCACAGCCCGACCTTTCTCCAGCTGGGGCCCAATTCTTTACTGTACAGGAGAAAAGATAAAAGACATAAAATCTTCTATCAAACTATCCCTACCATGTGCCCAGCAATGTACTTACGGGAGACACAGAGTTGATTACAACAAAGACAAGAAAATAGACAGGAGGGAACCTTGAATGCCCTTGAGAAGCTAGTTTGTGCTGTGAAGTTTTTCCTTTTCACATCCTAATTTTTAATTAGTTTTTAAAACGGGTATCATGATCCCACTATTTTAATTATCGAATTTTAATGATACCACTTCCCATGGTGGCTGTCATTTTATTTACCACATTCCCTGGGAACCCTTTCAACTGCAACCACTTTTCCAAATTAAGACAACAATTATTATTTTGGAACACTAAAATCACAGATGCCTAATACCTCAGCACCTAAAGATATAATAAACATACACCTTTACAAATATGTATGATTAACTATAAAATAACAGCTTAGTTTTCCCACAATAAGACAAAAGTATGGACGACTTACTACTGCCTTCAAGTTAAGACAAATTTATCCACATTTCCTGCAGATAGCTGTATTTGGAACAAGAAGATATGTGTATAGGAGTAGACAAAAAAAGAGAGACTCTGCCATAAAGATCAGAAGGCCTACTGCCTAAGGGATCATCAGATAAGGATGCTTGCTCTGACCTTCCTGCTTGAGTGCAAGCAAGCACATCCCCAAGTTCAAGTGCCGTTACGGAAACACAGCACTCCAAGTGCAGGTAGAGAAGCTGTGAAACTGAAAACGTCATGGTCAGACTTCTTTAGAAAAAAATTTCAATCTGTGAAATTTCAACAAATTGCAAATTTGTTTTTCCAAATTAGCATAATATGGGCTTATCCCTTATTTCCATTTCAAAGACAGAGACTCAGAAAAATTAAGTTCTCCAAGGGCAGGTGCTGTGTCTGTCTACCAACTGTGCCGGCTGTGGCATGACTACCTCACAAGAACATACACACCTATAATCCCAAGAAAGTAAGCAGTACAAGTCAGTGAAAAACACTGGACACATTATACCTCAGTCTGGAAAAGGTCCACAGAATCGCTCTGAAGGATCACAGAGCTCCCACAGTCCTGCAGGCGCCAGCATTCCGGGCCGCTCGCTCCCCAGAACCCTCACCCCCGACCTGCTGCGGGACCTGCTGCGGCCCCTCGCTCCTCCTCAGCGTCATCTGCAGCCCACGCCCCGCTCTAATCTCGACACAGCAGCCGCCAGAATCCTCCCCAGGCGACTCCTGCCTCAGCAGACCTGTTCTTAAACAGGGGTCTAAGAACATGGCCCGCGGGCCACCATCTCTGTGTACAGACCAAGTAGACCAAAAAAAAAAACCCCTCAAGAGGAACACCTTGCCACATGAGAACATTATAAAGAATTCAAATCCCGGTGTCCATAAAGTTCTGCTGGAACAGCCAAGCTTAACCCTTTATGTCTTAGGGCTTGCAAAGCACAAAATGCTTATTCTCTGGCCTTTTATGGAAAGTCTGCAGACTCCTGGCCCAGGGCACCCGAGGGGCGCAAGGAAGTAACTCCCCTGCACACTGAGAGCGGTACATCCACGAGCAGTGAGAAAAGTCACTCCAGCTGCCTTCCAGCAATCAGGCACTGACGAGGGCTGCTTACGCAAAGATCTGGAGAATTAGATCTCCTGCTTTGGCTTTTACAGCCCCAAACTCCAAAACCTCGCGGTCCATCTGCCTTTAGCTAAGATTCAGGTAAGCGCAGGGGCACCGCAACCCGCTGGCAAAGCTGTCAACGGGCTGAGGGCGCAGGAGGTCTCTCGGCAGCTTCAGGTCTCCCCACCCCCGGGCTGGAGAGATTTCAGCAGTTGCACTGGAAAGGGCCCTGGCCCGGAGGTCTGCGCAGGAAAGGGTCCTTGCGCGCAGAACGGACCGGGTCCCGGCGCGACGCAGAGGGGGAGCCTGGGGAGCCTGGGAACCCCCGCTCACCCTCTGGGCCCGCATCCGCGTCCAGAGGCATATCCCGGAAAGCACAGGCCCACCCCGACCCCCCAGGAAAGTCAGAGCGGGGCTAGATCAGCGCGTCTCACCCAGACAAACGAAGAGCACCGACTTCGGAACCTGCTCTGCCATCTTCCCGCGAAAACACGCATGTGCCCACTGACCGCGTCCGAACGTTCCTGGCGCAGCGCAGGCGCACTCTGAGCGTCCCGCCCCGCGCGCCTGCGTTGTCCGGCTTTAGAGCCCACGAGGACAAACCGACGGGTCTCGCGCTTGCGCATTCAGTCCAAAGCGCCGCTCCGGAGGCGGGGCCGAGTCGCTGGGAGGGAGGGGTGGGGCCTGGGGAAGGGGAGGAGTTAGGGCGGGGCGGGCGGCACCAAGAGAAGGGAGGCTGCGAGGCGTCCGGGACCCGCAGGGTGGTGGGTAGTGAGTCACCTGGAGGGCGGGGGACGCTGCGGAGTTGGGGCGACGGAGGCGGGGTCCCGAGTCACCTCGACCGGTGAGGGGTGGGGAGGGGCCTCGGAGTGGGGCGGACTTAGGTTAGGGCTCTGCGGAGCAACCACCTGAGGTTGGGGGAGGGCGCCAGCCCGAGTCCTGGGCCGAAGGTGGGACTGCGGCTGTTACGGAGCGTTACCGAAGGGGCGGAGTCTTGAGCGGGTCGAGCGGACGCCCCCCCTCCCACCAGCACCTGGCCTCGCGGCCGGAACCTGAGGTCGGGGACCAAGATGAGCGGGGTCCGCACACGACCTCGAGCCCCTCCCGGACCCGACACCCTGATCGGAACGGACGCGCACAGTCGTCCGGGACTGTCAGCTTGGGTGGTCTCAGGTCTAAAAACGCGGGCTGCGCTAGAGGCCACCTAGGGACGGAGTCGAGCACAGACGTTCCCCAGCTGCCACCCCGGCCGGCCCGGGTCGAGCTCCTCCTGCCCTACGTTACCTGTCTCAGGTGTGCGCCGCGGGGCTGTCCTTGCGCTGGGAGGCGGAGCCGGGAGGAGCGTGCCCTTCCTCTTCCTGGCTGGGCATCTGCGGCTGGAGGGGCGCCGGAGCGGGCCGGGCTGGGGTCACAAGTGAGTACGGGCATGGGCCAGGCCGCCAAACCTGTCCCGGAGTCGCGGCCTCCTCCTTCCCGTCCAGAAAAGTTTTGCTAGAGCGGGTCAGTGGTGAGAGAGAGGACGCGCCCGGGGCTTTGCGCGTGGCGCATCCGTGGACGCTGGATCGACCGCGAACTGTCACAAGTTCGGGGCGACATCGCCTCGGGCCCCCCCAACCACAGCGCCTTGATTCGGGTCTCATCCCAGGTGTTCCGATTCACAGAATAGTTCTTCCTAAAGTTTTAATTTTAATTATTGCAGTTTTTATTTCTAAGTACCTAATGTGTGAAAGGCCTCGGATTAGAGTCTTTTTCATTCCAGTTTGTGTGGTGGTTTGGTTTTGGCGTGTGCTTGAGTCATGGAGGCAGAAAGGTGGGGTGACGTGCGTGGTGGGGGTCCCCGAAGGGAAGCGAGGCCCTGCCCTGAGCCAAACAGTCTGAGGCCTGAGAGCAGAAGAGCCGGCGCGGACCCCTTACGAGGTGGTGGCTCTCCCTTGTTGGAACAGGTAGAAACTGCGCCCCTGGTACCTGACGATGAGAAAATGAGGTTCATCCTATTGGGTGGAGACTTGCCATTCCCACCCCATTTCAACCAGTATTTCAGGGTCACCACTGCTGCTGCCAAGGTTGGAAAGAAGGACACAGGTGATAACTCGGGACCCTGCTCCCATTGGAGGGGCCCCGGAGTTGTCCTAGCAAGCTGTTTATCGGGATGTTAGTCAGGAAGTGCCCCGTGGGACTCCCTAGAGATGCCAGGCCCCTGCGTGCAGGCCTGCTCTGGGGCTGCTTGAGCAGTGGCCGGGTGGGAGGTCACAGTAACAGAATGAGTGAGAGCTTCGCCCTGCTCATCATGTTTCAGGAGGGTTCACTGTTTGGGTTACTAATGTCCTACTTAAACAAAACTGTAGAATGTGCAAATACTATTCCTAATCTTTTGTGACATTAAAAAAAAACAATTTGAGAGATCTTTGCTAATCAAGGTCAATTTGATGCTTTTATCCCATTTAGGAAATCACCGTTCTCAGGAGATTTCTCGCTCTTTAAAAATAAGAGGGGGGTGGGGTGTTTCCAAAGGAAAGGAAGTTGATGCAGGTCAAAGGGAATGAGGACAGTGTCCCCAGCTGGTTCGTGGTGGTCACAGAAGTCCCCCCACACCTTGTCTTACTGGCATCACCACACTGGGCTTTTTGTTTTCCTGGGAAGATCCATTTTCACGCCAGCTGATCTGACAGCAGAAACATGTACCCCTGCTCCCAGCCAGGGTCCTGTGAGCTTCGGTGCAGGGGAAAGGTTTCCTTTCACCGGAAGCTCTGTTTCTTGTCACTCCCGGCTCTCCGTCCCTGTCTGCACCTGGGGATGGGAAAAGCAGCCCTGGTCACAGGAACGTTTGCGTTCAAACTATGAGTTTTGTTTAAAGTTTGAGGTAGGAGTGTGGATTAGGAAAGTTAATGATCTGACTAGAGAGACCGGTTTTGATTTCTAGAACAGACAACTTGTCTCTTCAATCAAAGGAAGTAGTTAATCCAAGGCTCAAAGATAAGAATTGGTTTCACAAACAATGGCCCTAGTTACCAGGCAGTCGGGTTTGTGGCTGATGTTCTAGTAAAAGTTCTGAGCTAAAGACAACTTTTAAAAGCCATTTTAAAGATTACATAGATGAAGTTTCTTTTGTTTTGGCCAGGCTTTAACTCATTCTAAATATTTCTTTATACCATTTTAGTTCTTTTGATTTTAATTGGGATTTTATCAATTTAGGTAACTTCCATTTCATATGAATTTTAAGGTTTAATAATTTGATTAGCATCTAATTAACGGAAATTCAGAAAGCCAAATTCTAAACTTCTAGCCTTTACCTAGAGGTGCCCTTCTCATGACAGACCACGGTGAGAAAAATAATGATGCCTGTCGATGGGAGAAGGTCTGGGAGCCTTCACTCCAGACCCTTGGTGGGAGGTCGATTGGGGACCATCAGTTACTCCAAGTAGGGTTCTAATGTCCCCCTTTGCCCCCAGGGCCTCAGCCTGAGCTCACTGTCTGTGATCAATGTGCGAATCATTTCCACATCCTAAACCCATTCCCAGCTTTGGAGGTCTCCAAAGTAAGAGTTTTTCTCCCTACTATTTTATAAACTTCTCTTAATTAAAACAAATAACCTTAGTATGAAAATTTCCAAATATTTTAATTACTTTTTCAAGAAAACTTCACTTCTACGTTTCTTAGCTTGAGGTTTGGCAGCTCTCCTCCTGCCAGGAGGAGACTTGCGTGTTTATAGAGAATTTGCTTTGGAATTCAGGACACTTAGGACTTTTGTGATTGTTTGGGCGCCTAGTACGATTTAGAGTTTTAGGGGCTTCTTCAGTTGTGACCGCTGTCTTCACAACCTCAGCCACGTCCGATCAAGCATGCCCTGTGCTGTGGGTGGTAGGGGCAGCGGGCAACCCCTGACTGGGCGCTGAGAGCAGGGGCGGCAGCTCGGACCTACGTTGATAGTTGTGAGCTCTGACAGAAAGTCACCGTATGTAACTAGGACCAGGCAGTATGGTTTTATCTCAAATTTAATAGAATCTGTACTATCCAAACAAGTTAGCCAGGTTCTTCCGTGGTTCAGCTGACCACAGTGGTGTGCTAGCCGTGACCAGTCTTGCCAACGCCCATCCGCGGCGACACTGGCCGGTCGGTGCCGAGGCAGGGCTCTGCTCCGGCTGCTGGTCAAGCTCTGAGGCCCTCAGGTTCCCCGGCTGCACCCGAGTCCCCAGGGGTTCGCAGCAGAGGCCAGGCCGTCCCTGAGGCAGGGTGTTCGCAACAGCAGCCCTTGGCTGCAGAAGCTGCCTGTTTGGTGTGTAATTCTGCTTGGGCATGGAGGTCACAGAGGACGTCTGGGGGGGGGGGGGCGGTGAGATTCATGTACTGTGTACTGTACTTTAGTTGTGCATGACAGAAACTCTGGTCCCAATTGCGGTTACAGAAAAGGCTGTCGCTGGCCCACGGGATGGAACGGTTCAGAGCTGCTGTGGCTTCAGCCGGGCCAGCAGAGCCCAGGTTTCCTCTCTCCGGCTCTTGCCCGTAGCTCCTCCGCGTGGCCTTTTCCTCGGCCTCCCCCTTGGGGTGACGACATCTTGCAGCAAGTGCCTGGAAAACGGTCGTCCAGGCAGCGCCCCCACCAGCCCTTGGCCAGGTGTTTGCTGACCATGGACCAGCTGTGGCTACCAAGTCCCAGTGGCCCAGGAGGAACGCTCGGGTCACCTGTTCCACTTGAGGGGCAGTGTCATGGAGAGGGACAGACTGGTGCTGACTCTGAAAGAAAAGGCAGATGCTCAGCGGAAGGAACAGGTCTCACCGGTCACTAACTCAGTCCAACAGGAAGTGCTGAGCATCTGGGAGCAGAACAGGCACCTGGGGGCACAGAGATTAGTAAAGTCTTCCAGCCTGTTGGGATTGTAGTTCAGGGGCAGGAAAGGGGATCATACAAAGGAAGTGGGAGGAAAAGACAGATGCACAGGTAAGAGTCTCAAAACACAAAGCCCGAGTGCCAGAAATACAGAAACTGGACTGCGAGCCCCCGTCTGTATTGGGGTGTGGGCCTCGCTCCCTTCCTGGGGGCGGTCACATTCCGGGCGAGGCTGAGGAGAGACTCCGGTCTGCTCACCGCCCACTCATCTGCTTTCAGTCTGCAGGCGTCGCTGACCCTGAGGGCACTGCCAGCCCTCGCCGTGGTCAGGAGGCCTGACCTTGCGGCCCACGCAGCACAGCAGAGTTCCCTGTGAGCACCGCTGAGGCCGCCCTGGGCCTTGCAGCTGCAGGGACTCGGGGGGAGCCGCCCTCATCCCGTCCGCTGGGCTGCCTGAGAGCTCCTGGAGCACTGCTCGCTGGTGTCCTTGGTCGGGTATTTGGGTCACGAGCATGTGTTTCTGGACATAGTCTTTCCTATAAGCCAGACTTCAGTCTCACTGGGGTCGTTCAATCTGGACCTCAGGAACCAAAAGTGCTGCTGAGCCACCTGTACGACCACCAGTCCTCCAGGTGACACCGGCACCAAGAAGAAATGGAGACAACACAGGTGACTGCCCCGTTCACACTGATTTTATTAATGCAGGTTCAGTCCAGATCCACACTGACCTAACAGTGCTGATCACTCAGAAACAACCAGTAACAGCATCACAGGAGAGAGTCGAGGGACACCAACCCGAGTCCCAGAGTCTCAGTCTGTGGGTCCAGAAGACAGCGTGCTGGGCAAGGGGGCCTTCAGTGTCTTATGAGGCAGCGTCTCCCCAGTCAGGTCAGCAGCGGCATGAATGACATTCTCGGTCCGACCGGGCCGGGCCTCCGGCCGCACCAGACCTCCGGCAGCACTGCTGTCCGGGGATCAGCACCGCGTGCGTGGGGCGGCCCCTTGGTGCGTGGTGGTCTGCGGTCTTGGTGGTGGCTCTGAAGTCCACCTCCGTTCTACCCACGTTCTCAGCACCTGAGCTGGGAAATCCTGTGGCTCAGGGCCAAGAGCCCCAGCGTTGGATCAGTAGGCGTGGCCTCCCTGCAGGCGCGTCTGTGTGCCGTATCTTGGGTGTGCTGCCCTGGCAGGCCTTTGGCTGGGCGCCTGGCGTGACTTAGGCAGCTGCCTTCTTGAACCAAAGTGCCCAGTGCCGTGGCTGACCGTGGTTCAGCCGTCTTGGTTGACACCGAGTGACGCCATCTTGCGTGACAGGCTTTATCTCTTTTTGGTTGGCCCCACTCTGCACGGTTTCTGTTGTCTTGTGCCCCCTTTCCGGGGAGGGCCTGGAAGGGACTCTCTCAGGGCAGGACAGTAGCTAGCGTCCGCAGCTTGCTTCCCTCCAGCCCTCCTTTCTCTCAAGGTCCGGGAAGTGCCACGGACGGAGGGGCAGGGGCGCTCTGCTGCCAGCGAGCTCTCTGGGGGATCCATCGGTTTCCTCCGTAAATGGACCTTTCCTAGTTCCCACGGGGGGTTGACCTTTAATTCCCAAAGCCACACAAATACTCTACCCATTTAACAAATATTTGTTGGCCAGTGACTGTGGGCCTTTATGGCTTGTGCTGGTGACACCACGGTTAACAGGTAGTCCGTGTGCTCACGTGCTAGCGAAGTGAGAGAGAAGCAGCCGCCCCAGTCAGCCCCCGGTGCAGCGGGCGTTCCCACGGGCGGGTCCTGCCTGCGGGAGAGACTGGGGAGCAGGTGGGCGGCACCCGTCACGCTTGCATGTGTTTCATGGGAGACGCTCACCTGATACTTGGGCTGAGCAGGTCACTGATGTTGGGGGTCTGGAATTTAGAGGATGGTTAAAGAGTAGATGGAACTTGGAGAATCATCAGGCGTGCATGGTACTTGTAGCCACAGGCCTGCGGCTGCAGAGACGAGAGAGCCCTGGGGAGGACAGTGACCCTGAGGGAGGCTGGCCGGTCAGAGTGCGCTTCCCTCTGTGGAGGCAGCTCAGGTCCCTGAGAGCACCCTCAGGTGGCGTCTTAAACATAACGTGGCTGCCGTGTCCTCCCTGGCCATGTCACCAGACGTGGGGCAGGTCTGCCCCTGCTCCTCGGGGCACTGAGTGTTGTGTGGGGGCTGAAGTGCAGAGACTGCCTGGCTGCCCCAGAAGAGTGTTCCTGAGTCAGCAGGAGGCCAGGCCACCGTTTGGGACCCTGAATGCCACCCGAACGCCCAGCAGTGGAGGTGGCCCTGCCAAGGTTTCAGTTCTGGGAGGGGCTGTGTCACATGGTCTCATGTGGAAGCAGCATTTAAAACACATCTTGAGGAATATTTCAAGGGGTCAGAAGTTGGCAGTATTTTTCCTTAAAGGGGTAGTAGGACATGTATTGGGCCTGAACCTCTCTGCGTTGTTTTAATGAAAATTGAAACATCATTAAATAGTTTTTAAGATTTTGTTTATTTATTTTTAGAGATTGGGAAGGGGAAGGAGAAAGAGAGGGAGAGAAGCATCAGTATGTGGTTGCCTCTCACATGGCCCCCACTAGGGGGGACCTGGCCTGCAACCCAGGCATGTGCCCTGACTGGGAATCGAACCAGTGACCCTTTGGTTCTCATCCTGTGCTCAATCCACAGAGCCACACCAGCCGGGGTGAGATTTATTTTTTAACACAAGTCTGCTGATGAGGGGACTAATCTTTATGGGAGGACATTTTGCAGCTCTTGGTTCAAAGTGTTGTCATCAAAATAGGTCACAAAAGTCCAGCTGTTACTGCTGATCTAGGATGCAATTTTACCTATTTCACCTTTAAAAACGTGTTCTCCCACAAAGTATTATCTGTTTAATTCTTCAACCACCAGACACATGGAAATGGTTCTTCCCTCCCAGGCCCATGGTGGCTGGGCTGGGCTGCAGGTTGCCCAACCTGCCGCTCAGCGCCCAGGGCGCCCTCCCCGTGCTCAGGGTGAGCAGCAGGCCCGCCCCTTCACAGTGGTGCCCCATCAAAGTGGGCGGCAAATGCCTCGGTTTCCTCATAAGTTTTTAACGCACGGGGGTGGGCAGAGGCAGGTTCACAGTTGTCTGTGTAGAAAACAATGCAGGGTAGACTGTTCACACGCACGCAGCTGTGAGTAAACATGCTTTTGCACACCCCATGTGTGTGCACATGAGCACTCTTGTGTGACTTTCATCATGAAGGTGGTGTTTTTCATGAAATGCTATAGATCAGTCAATGAATTGTCTTGTAAATATACTTAAAAGCACTGGGGTCTTACTTCACATCCTAGACCAACATCAGGTAGAGGCGGCTCAAATATTTCGTGTAAAAGAAAAGCTCTGGAAGGAAATGTGGAATGGCAGCTGTATAGCTCCTTAATGAGGACCTTTGGCCACCATAGCAGAGGGAAAGATGATTAGAACAGCCAGGAGAGATGGTGCCGAATCATGGTGAGGTAACTAAGATAGTACGCGAAAAGGGTGTGACGCCAGGAAAATCGGCTGAGAACGTGGCCAGAAAATGTGCAAAACAGGAAAAGTGAACAAAAGGGGAGAAGCCCCTTGGACTCGGGTGAACTTGGACTCGGGGGCCGTCCTTCCGGTGCCTGAGTTGCTGCACAGCCACAGGGGCGGTGGGACCCCCTGGCTGTGTGTGCCCAGTGGCCTGCACTTGGTCTGCCTTAGGAAGCTGTTCGGTAATGTAATCAAAACCTTTAAAAAAGTTTGTATGTCCAACTCTTAAGTTTCCATCTCAGGATAATTACCATCCAACAGCGGATGGTAAAAGCTAGAAAGGGAGACAGTCTTGTTCAGCAAGAGAAATCGATCAAACTACCGAAATGGCAGCAGCGGAATTGGCTGTTTGTAGCCGGAATGCTTCTCCTCCTTCAATATGTGTCTGTTTATGCTTTCTTCTTTTTTTACAGTGTGCTTATGCCATAATTTCTGATCACTTAAAATTATAGAAAGATTATCATACTTTGGCCTTTTACACTATTGATTTGATGAGTAATTTTCCAATAATTCCTGGGTCTTTTATGATTTGATTTTTGGCATTTTAAAATGTTGATAAATTTAGAGTTTATCTTTATGTAACGTGAATCCGTGGATGAATCTTTATTGTTTTTTCTTTTTCCCAAAAGACCACCATTACCGTACAGTAGAGCTTCATCACAGTGATCCAAGGTGCTGTCCTTATCATGAAATCATCGTGTACAGTGTGTTTGGTTGGTTTCTGGGTTTTCTACTTTGTCACGTCGGTTTTTCGGTTTACATTTGTACCCGCAGTCATCGGGGCTTCATAACAGAGCTCGTCCCCTCGTTGTTCTACTTCAACGTATTTTTCCTCCTTTTTCTTAGTTGCTTATTTTTTCATATGAACTTGAGAATTTATGACTTTCTTTAGGTAAAACTCTTGTTAAGACTTAGAAGATGAATTTTATATCATTAAGACAGAAAGTAGAAAGATCATCATAAGAAAATTCAAAAGGGGCAAACAGAAGATGAACATTTGTAACTCACCTTGTAGAAAAAGCGTTAGCTCCTGTAATACACAGATTAGTAAGAAACGGAGCAATGCCCGTGCACAGGGAGGGAGGCTGAAGAAGCTGCGACCGGGTTGGCAAGACCGTCAGCCTAACTCGCCAGAGAAGACGGTGAAAGCCCACTGAGGGCTCCGGTGAAGGGAAGCGAAGCGCTCTGGAGTGGCCGTCCTGGAAACAGCGGGAAACCGGGCACAGCATGAGGGCGCGCCTGTTGTGTGGTGGGGCGGCAGGCGGGTGGGCCCCAGGACAGGGTCCTTGGTGGGTGGAAGAGATGGCGTGAGTTTGGGGAGGGTGTGTGCAAAGCAGATTTGGAGAACAGAGGGCGTTAAAGAGACAAGAGGTGAATCTGCGTAGGGACAACCTGCCAGGTTCCCAACTTCTAGCAACCAGCCACTTTTACCAGCAATGGGAGAGAACAGGAAAATACAATCCGTAGCTGGGAGACAAATCAGTGAGAAGCAAACCCAGGAAGAACAGGGATAATGCAATTATCAGACGAGGACATAAGAGCACTTTGTACAATATGCTCAGGGATTTAAAGAACATTATAAACATAATCAGCAAAATGGGGGAATGAAAATCGACCAAGGGAACTTTCAGAGCCAGAGCCACAGTCTGTACAGTGAGGCGTTGGCTCGATGGGCTGAGCAGCAGGTTTTACACTAAGTCTCCTGGTGTCTCTGGACCCACGTGGCTACCATGGAGGGACACTGGCTGTCACTGGGGGAGGGAGGGGCTTTGTTCTCTGGGGTCACACTATCTCAGGCTTGGGAAGGACCAGGAGCTTTTTCAGAATAACCAGTCACCTTCCCAAGCTTTCCGGGGCTTCTGATGAGTCCACCCCGGGCCAGCAGATCCCTTGACAGGCCTGTATGGTTGCCCTTCTGGCTCACCTCCGCCTTCACTGGCTTGTCCGTCCCCATGTTTGCCCCTTCCCCGGGCATGTGGGGACGCACCTGAGGCTCCCCGGGGAGAGTATGAAGCTGTAGCTTCCTGGGAAACAAGCAGGCTCATGTTCCTAACGACCCCAAGCAGACATCATTACGCTCAGTGATGTCTAGTTCGCTCCGCTTCCCTCCCTTGTTAATAACTAGCTGCCTGTGCTCACACCCTGTCCTGTGTCAGGGAAGGACCCGCCCCCTGGTGCTCCTGAGCCGGAAGGGCCCTGTGAGCCTGGTCAGGAGCTTATGGTCCTCAGTGAAGGGGCCACCTTCTGCCACCCTGAAGCTACCCTTTTGGGATATTGATTTTAAGCTATTTATTAAGAAACAAGAGACCCGGAGAGAACTTTGACCCCCACTCTCTTGCCCAAGAGGTTAGAGAAACATGCTTCCGGAAGGAGGATGCAGCCTTAGCCCGACTTCACTGAAGTGCGGTCAACAAGCGGGCTTCTGGCAGGGGCCCGTCAGTGGGCCGCCCTGTGTCCCACACTGTTTCGGGGTTGCCCAGGGTTTTCCTGCTGTGTGTGTGTGTGTACATGTGTGTGCACATGCGTGTGCACACGCTCCCTCGACCACCTGTGAATCGCCCATCCTCACTTCTGAGACGTGATCCCCACCCCTACCCCGCACTCCGTCCTCCGAAATGTGTTGCCCCAGTGTCTCCGGGACTTTCGCGGAGTGTTCACGCCACGTGGTCCCCACACACACGTGTTTCACTTGGACTTCCTCCTGTTACTGTCCCTCCTCGTTTGGTCGTCAGCCCAGCCAGAAGAAGTCACACGAGCAATGTCTGTGCTACACAAAGTGCTACACAGACGAATGCTGCCTGTGGCTCGGAGAAGTCCCTCAGTCCCTGAGTGTCCCCGAATTTTACCAATAAGGAAAATCCACAGAGACAGGTCACACGTTTTTGGCAAAAGTAGCCAACTATATTAAATATTATGTTACCTATTATAGTCGGTTGTAAAATGCATCTTTTTAAAATTCTTAATATTTTAATGTTTTTATGAGTACTGAGGTGAGTTCAGAATTTCAGGGAGAACCTACATAATTGGGAGATTGGAGAGACCCTTTAGAATCCCATGATTTTATGATTTCTGAGATGTTTAAGGGCTCCCTAGCCTCCGGGTGGATTTGATTTACTAGGAATATAGAGGCGAAACAATGAATAATTGAGTATTTCCAGTTCATTCTCTGTGTGTGGTCAGGCGTGATTTGTTAATACTTAATTGTGTGTGGGAAAAAGTGAAATTACAGTAAATTTCTAACTTCTGCTTAGTAGATTTTTTGCATTAAAATATTTTTTTAATGTTTTAGTGAATAACCCTATACCTTCCAACTTGAAATCAGAAGCAAAAAAGGCTGCTAAAATTCTAAGAGAATTCACAGAAATAACTTCCAGAAACGGACCTGATAAGATCATTCCTGGTAGGTAACTAAGATGTGCCCTGTTCATTTCTAAACTGTTTTGTGTTCGGACTTGGGTTTTGCCTTCCTCGACTTCAAGCTGTTGACCCCAGTCCTCCGACCACCTGCTTCCCTTGGCGGGGCAGCCGCCCGGCCCGCTCCCCCCCCTGCCCCACCGCCCAGCTGCCCCAGCAGCCTGTGCCCTCCACCTGGGCCTTGACCTGCACTCACCTGTCCTTGTCCCCCATTTCTGAGAACGTTACAAGCTCCCCTTGCAAACCCACTAGCTAATCTCGGAAACAAATTTTATTTTTGCGTTTTCTCTTTCTAGCTGTTTACAGTTCAGAGTGATTTAGGAGGTCATTAATAATTCTCTAAACATCTGCACATCAGTATGCCTGGGCTGTAAAAATAACTCCCCCAAATCTGCTGATTCAGACCCTCCCCCGAACCGGGGTGGCCGGGGTGCAGATTTTTAATACCTTCCTTGTGTGAGTCTTACGCAGTCAGGCCTGTGCCCAAGTCCTGGTCCCAGGTGAGCCGCCAGCATTTACTTCTGAAGCGTGTTGCATGGAACGTGCACCGCCCCGGAGGAGGCGCACTGGGACCAGGCCGGGCAGGCGGTGTGGCGGAGGAATCCCTCCCCGTGAGCGCAGGGCCCGCCTCTGCTCCTGCGGTAACCGAGCTCAGCTTCTCAAGCTATTTAACAGAACTTTAAATGTCCAAACATTTTAAAATTTGTTGTTTTCATGATGTTAATAATAGTAATTATGGTTTGGATTCGGCCACCGTAAGAAAACAGGGCTTCGAAAACCCTGCCACTCCCAGTGCGGTGGGGGGGCCTTCCTGGAAGTGCAGGTCCTCGGGGTGCTCCGAGCTGCGGGTGGGTGGGCTGTGCCCGCATGTCACTCGCTCTCCAGGGACTTGTGTGCGCACGCAGGTGTGAGAGCACTCCTTCGGGACTTGAAAGCTCAACTAGAAAGACTGAATTTTTGGTAACACTAATCCAAAGCATGAAATATGTTCATCGTAAAACACATGCTTTGGCTGTGTCTGTGTTTCTAAATAGCAGCGGTACTAACTACAAAAGCTCAAAGTGACCCTGGCTGTTGGATGCCCAGGGAGGTTGCCAACCCGGGGTGGTCAGGATGAACCTACCTGACGTAGAGTATAGCTCTCAACCTTGTCACAACGTACTTACAACATTTTCAAGTGCGAAACTAAGCTGCACTTTGCTAGACTACCGCCTAAGAAGCCAGCTATAATCACGAACCACTCCACAGACGTTCTGCATAGAAAGTTCTTCATGCTCTCTGATCAAGTATCTCGGAGAGTATGCATTAATGCATTAATTTAAATCTGGAAGTGATGTGCATAACTATATCAGAAATTTAGCGTTTTTCTAGGGACATCTTCAAGACCTTTTTTATGTATTTGTATACAGTCTCTGGTTTGACATCCTTGACATAATATTTAGCTGAAGTGATGTTAAATTATGTTAAAAATAAAATCGAGGTTCTAAAATGATTTCCAGTGTTTAGTTTTTCATTGTTGTCTGAAATACGTCGTAGTATTATGTAAATAAATCCATAGAATAGTGAGGCTCTTTAGAGCTCATTCAGGGAATGTATGTACTTCCCTGAAATGTGAATAAACCAGTATTTTATAAATTGAATTCTATTTCCAGTGCACTCAAATACTATAACAGATCGTCTTATAAAGTTAAAAATGTCTTAAAGTGGCAAAACCACTTAATTTTCTGTTTCTGAGTCTGGATTTTCATATTCATAAAAGGTGAACTGCATAACTTCAAGGTCAAAGTTGTGCCAGGTCATTTTAAACTTTCTCCTTAATACACAGAAGTCGCCATTTCTTTGAAAATACTGACTTGTTATTTAAATTACCAATTGTGTTCCAAATTAATCGAAGCCTCCAAATGATTTGTCCTGCCACTGGGCCTCAGAGAAACCGCACCCAGACGCTTCTCCTTTGCTCTGCAGTTGTGGAGCCTCTGAGCACATGTCGGGGTTGAGTCTGCAAAAGCGACACGAAAGTCCAGGCCAGAGTCGCCGCAGCCCTGCAAAGAGTTTCATTCTAGCCTCTGAGGCGCCACTGAGCTTCGTGTGAGAGCCAGGAACCGGCCCGGCACACGTGTGTGTGTGTGTGTGTGTGTGTGTGTGTGTGTGTGTGTGTGTAATCTGCTTACCCCTGCTTACCTGTCCCTGTCTTTGACCCTGGCAGCCCACGTGATTGCCAAAGCCAAGGGCCTGGCGGTCCTGTCGGTGATCAAAGCGGGGTTCCTGGTGACCGCCCGAGGAGGCAGCGGGATCGTGCTGGCGCGTCTTCCCGATGGAAGTGAGTGGCGCTTCTTCGGGTGGGAGGCGGGGACTCCTTACCCCCCTTCGCGGGTTTCCATTCACACACACTCCACGGGGAGAGTGACCGGCTGCCCACGCCCCAAACGGTGGTCCCCAGGGCCCCTCTCTCTGCTCCTCTGAGGCGCCAGACGGGACCCGGGGGGACCTGGCTTTGTCCAGCCACGGAGCAGATACTCAACATGGCAAAATGTGCACTCTGCTGGTAGATATGAGTTCTTGTTGCTCAACGTCATGGTGCCACAGTTTTCTTCTGTTTGGTGTAGTTTTAGGAGGAAGCGGGAGCCATCGGGACACTTCCCCAGGCTCCTGCAGGAGCCGCACTAACAGACTTCCCCAGAGCAGAATCACGTGGGGACTGATCTGGTTTTGTTCCACTTTCTGCCATGAAATGTAATATTTGATTTTTCAGAGATGAAATCAAAGTATCTTTGCCTTGAATCCAAAGAACCAGCATTTATAGTAATATTTATGCTTGTTTTTCTAAAGATTTTATTTCTTTATTTTAGAGACGGGAAGGGAGGGAGAAAGAGAGGGAAAGAAACATCGATGTGTGGTTGTCTCTCACACGCACCCTACTGGGGACCTGGTGTGTAACCCAGGCATGTGCCCTGACTGGGAATCAACCCAGTGACCCTTTGGTTCCCAGGCCTGTGCTCAATCCACTGAGCCACAGCAGCCAGGGCTGTAGTAATATTAAAATGTGTGTAGGTGTGCCCGGACCAGCTGAAATGCTTTTATACCAGTTTAACGCGTGCCGTTTACTCGCATAAGTGAACATGTCCTTGTGTAAAGACTACTTTTCATCAGACACCCTGTGGGACATTCGCTGACGAGAGCCACATCCAGGTGTCTCTGGGGCCCAGCCTTGGACCCGCAACACCAGGCTCATGGCTCCCCAGGAGGTGTCCCCAGAGGAGCGAGAGTCTCTCCAAAGCTGGGGCAGCTCCGCTCGCAGGGCTCGGTCCCCAGCTGTGACACCAAAATGACAGGATCATCTCAAGCTCTGCCCAAGTCTGTATGGGCGGACTTCCCGGCTGCACGACCAGAGTGGGGGCACGTCCAGGGGGCTTCCCCACCGGGCAAGCCCAGGCCTGTGAAAAGGCCTCGGCCCTGGACAGGGCCGCCCCGCACAGGTGCAGGAGCCCTCAGTCCCTGGGGTTGATCCCAGAGCCCCCCGGGGGCCTTCCTGCTGGGGTAAATACCCATGTCTCTCCTCTGTCTTGCCCAGTAGCCCCTGCTCTGGGTCATTTGAAAGCTGCCCAAAGGAGGCACAGAAAATTCCTGGGTCCCTGCCGGGTGGGACAGGGACAATTCCTAACCCAGGAAGTGGGAAATCACTTTGGTGGTGTCACAGACACTACCTTTTGTGATCAAAACTCCTCTCAACCGAGCAGGTCAGTTCTGGACACACCCGAACAACACTCCCCGTCTTGTACACATGCAGCGAGGACAGCAGATTTGGAAGCTAATAAGCAGTGAAAGAAATTGCTTTATCTGGACAATTCCGCCCTCCCCCAACCAAATTAATGTTTGTTTCTAGGCTTGTTCTACCTGTTTGTAGATCAGAACGAATATAAGCAGCAGTCCCGGAATGTTCTATGTCATGGCAAATGAAGGGCACTTAGTTTCCAGTTGTAAGGAAATTCATTTTACTGGAAATTCAACCTGACTTTACAGCCCATTTCCTGCGCTTCTCCTGGGGACAAGGCCGTCAGAACAGCTTTGCCCTCGGAAACTCGGAACAGGGACACCGTGGCAGTGCGTTACCCCTGCAAGCGGCTATGTAAACTCTTCCAAGCCTTTGCTCTCATGTCTGTAATAAAAATCTAAGTGAAGACTAGAATTACTGCTCAATTATCTTGTAAAACAACATGAAATACTGATTGCTGAAATTATCAAATGCTATCTATTTTTAGTTGGTGACAATCCAATAGCTTGGTATTAGGCATCTGTGCTGTGGAAGATTAGACAACATGGGTTTGTGAGTCTACCTTTCACGTTTTTTAAATTAAAAATTATATATAAAGAACAATATAAAGAACATTTAGAAACATAGAGGAAAATGTGAGATTTTCGTTATTTTGAAAAGAGGCACACTCACCTCGTGTTAGCATCTTCCCTCCGACACCCACGCGATGGTTTAACGGAACAGTAACGTGTTTGTCTCCCCTAGAGTGGTCCGCACCCTCGGCCATCGGGATCGCGGGGCTCGGCGGGGGATTCGAGGTCGGAATCGAGGTGAGCGGCAGGTGCTACGCACACCATCTTCTTTTTTCCAGAAGCAACCGAAACTGAACGGGTGCAAGTGAGAGGTTTCCTCCCGTTCTCTTACCACCTGTGGAAATGGTCCCCTTGACTCCCCCCACTCTACCTAAAACTGCCACCGTTGCCATTTTTCTTCCTTTTCTCTCACTTAGAGTGGAATGTGTTTCCATCTTTAGCGCATCCGTAGAACAGGCAGGCTCAAACCTGCCGTTCGCTCGGCAGTCCACGGCTCACCCTTCTCCTCGGTGGGCTCAGTCAGGGCACCGGGGGGAGCGGCCTGATGCTGCATCGGCATCTGTGGCGAAATCCCGTTTGTTATGTTTAATACTCAAGTTCCTTCAGATTCAGCAGAGGGACAACTCAGCTGCTGAGCGCTGAGGCTCCTTCTGGGACGGACCAGGAACGGCACGTGGTCCTTTGCCGAGCTCCCAGGGAGGGGTGGGTCTTTCCTCTGCTGCTTCATCGCTCGTGTGATGTCCCGACACCCTCAGACCGCTTTCTTCCCGGTTCCAGTCCTTTCTTCCTGGGCAGCCTGGGAGATGCTTTCTCCACCCCACCTGCCTTGCAGGTTCCTGTGCCTCATACTTGTTGCTTTTCCCTCGGGAATGAGGTGAGGGGGGCAGGCCCCCGGCAATGGCAACCTTATGTCTCCCTGGCGTTCTGAGCCTCCGCGATGTAAACTGAAGTGCGCCGTGCCGTGTACTGGTGCTGGCCCGCGGCCCTGCCGGGACGCCAGTGGGGAGGGCTCGCTGGGCACTGGGACATCGGGCCTGGCGGACCCCGCCCCTGCCTGCGTTCTTTGGCTTTAGGGGCTGTTGAGTGGCAGGGAGTCTTTTCTGTGTTTCCCACCCACCCCTGTTTGACCTGTTCTGAGTCTGTGACGGTTCACGTAACCCCACTGACCCTCTGTCACCAACTGCCGTAGGCAGCTGTGGAGGGGACAACAGCAGGGGGTGCAGGAAACCCCAGCGAGTCACAGCAGAGTCAGAGGGGTTGTGGTCCGTCCTTATCAGAGGAAATATTGGTTACATACGTCCTCACGTCAAAGTAAAAGTGTGACTCTCACAGTCTTTCTCTGTCTGCACTGAAAGGCTTGCTGCGGTGTACATAGTAGATGTGAGTTTTAATCTGCACGTATTTTAAATAATGTTTAAACATGATTATGTTCAGATAAATGGGTTTCTGCATTTTAGGTCTCCGATCTGGTTATCATTTTGAACTACGGCCGAGCAGTAGAAGCTTTTGCGAAAGGTGGCAACCTGACCCTTGGAGGGAACTTCACTGTGGCAGTGGGGCCCCTGGGAAGGTGAGTTCCGGAAGGTGCATTTGACCAGTGGGGTGTGGAAGCATTTTTAAAACTATGTATTGTTTAAAAATCAACGTATTGTTGTGTGTTAGGAGGAAACTTGAGTCCAAATGAATCAACTCGTGGGAGGTTTGAGGTTGCTTACCAATAAGAAGTTTACAGAACACAGCCAGGGTGTTAAAATGAGAAGCTTTGCACACACAACAAGAAACAATGTTCTGAAATGCAAGCCGTGGTATCTACTGGAATTGAATTCAGAATGTACATCAAGCTTTGAAGGAGCCAGAGCAAGATAAATTTAGTTACCTGGTAACGGGCCGCATTGATCAGGAGAGAAAAGGCTTTTTTCCAAACTAAATTATGAAAAATTGAAATGGAAGTGCTTTACTGGGTGATGTTTCAAACACAGTGGGTTGCCCTTCTCTGGATGAAGCACTACTCGCGATCCTTGAGGAATTTAGAAATATTTTAGACCCAGGCTGTTCGTAGAAGTCACACAGTAAAATCCAAGTCCCGTAAAGTACTCGGGGTGCGGCAGGTCCACAGGCTCGCACCCCGGAGGTGTGGCTCCCTGTTTAAGGAAAGGACGACTTGGGGGAGACCCAAGCTCCCTGCGCCTCCTCTTCCACGTGGCCCCGCTCCCCGTCCCGAGTCTGTGCTCCTGCACCCGCCCTTCCCCACCCCACCCCACCTCACACTCAGGAGGTGAGGCCCGCTGCAGTCTTTCGGGTCTGAAGTCAGCGCTCTCCCCGGAGGGGTCTTCAGGGGCAGAGCCTCTCACAAAGCCTGTTTTGCAGGAATTTAGAAGGAAACGTGGCCTTAAGAAGCTCTGCCGCCGTCTTCACGTATTGCAAGTCCAGAGGGCTCTTTGCCGGCATAAGTTTAGAAGGCAGCTACTTGATTGAAAGGAAAGAAACCAATCGAAAGTAAGTGCAAGCCAAATAATTCTCACTGATTTAAGAATTAGTTATGAGGAAATAATACCTCATAAGTGTACATGGTAGTTCTCTTGCATTTGCAGAGTACCTTGTATATTCTTTCCTTAAATCAGCATGTGACTCTGAGTGTATATTTCATTGAAAAATTCAGTGCAAAATTATATGTTCCTATAGAAAGTTTAAAAAACACAAAAAGTTAAACGGGGGGGGGGGAGACTTTTACCCCTTAAAGATGATTCACATTCCACATTGCTGCCTGCCAACATTTTCTAAGCATCATTGTCTTTTGTTTTGCCAGATGTCACTGTATCATAAGATTCCATCCGAAACCCTATTTTCCCACTTAACGTTATAAGCACCATAAATGTAAGGTAATGGCTACATAATATTCTACCGGTCAGATGTATCATATTAGACATATTTCTCAAGCATCTTGAGGCACATGCCAGTCACAACTTGTGGTTCCATCAGAATGTTTCTCACCGTGAGAGGTTTCCTGCTATTACGCTCTTTCTTCCACAAAGCAGACACCACTTTTGACTTAAAAAAACCACAACATTTGGATGTAATCTAACAGGCCAAGAGGAACGTCCACTTTAAACGGGCATCTGGCTGATTTCCCCAAAGCGGCTCTTTCAGGCTTCCTCTAAAATGTGTCTGATCGCCCAGAAAAAGGCAGAAATCTGACACACACGGGGCTTCTTCCGGAGCCTGGCAGGGGTCCCTCCAGCCGTGAGCCTGTCGGAGCCGACAGGCCGGTTCACAGCAGACAGACCCCCGCGCCCCCGTGACAGAGAAGCGCCAGTCCATGCAGGACTCAGCGGCACATTGTAACACGGAATGTAAACTAGAAAACAGGAGGAATGGGGGGGGGGGGGGGAATAGGTGTGTGAAACTAACTCTTCATCGTAGAAAGTCAAGGGGGACGTTTTTATTTCTGGTTTTATAAATTTGAGAACTGGAAGTTAAGAATGTGTTTAGGAAGTTCTGATTTTAGCCCTTGGAAGACTTCCCAAAGGTCACCTGAATTCTGGAGACACTAAAACAAACATGCTTAATCAGTCACAGGGACTCCACACATGGAAGGCAAGCCTCACAGAATTTCAAGGCAAATATACACTTAAAGGAATTACGGAGGCATCTGTGTTGGCGTAAAGCCTCAGGTTAGGGTTACCGAGAAAGTTCAAAAATAAAACCTATGAAAATGGATGTGCTTGTGGGCGGGTTTGCAAAAGTGTGGATGTATTTGTGCAGTGGAACCGCGGTTCTCAAACTTAATTTGTTCCAGAAACGGCTCAGGAAGCAGCTTGTTCAAAAACCGAATCTGCTTGTCTGTCACCTGAGAGACACTCCCGGGCCAGCACGAAGGGGTTGTTGGGGACAGTGGAGACCCGAAGGGTTGTCGGGCAGCAGACATATTTTTTCTGTGAACTTGGCTGACAACCAAATTGTTCAAGAGCGAAGACGCTCTAGCACTGAGGTTTGACTGTGTGTGTGTGTGCACGTGAGCTTGGTGTGTGTGTCTGTGTGCACGTTCTATTTTTTGTGCATCAGTCTGTTTCTGATGGCTGCCTCTAGGGATGAGCTTGGAGGGTGAATTCCGGGGTTGAACCTGGGTTGTGGCTTGTAGTTTGTGTTTGAAAAGTAGTTTACAAATGAATACACACAGGAGGGTTTAACTGCAGAAACGATCTATGTCTGCAAAAAAATGTGCTTAATTTGATTTGTCTTCTTAGGTTTTATTGTCAAGATATTCGAGCTTATGACATCTTGTTTGGAGATACCCCGCGGCCTGCTCAAGCGGACGACCTTTATGAAATTCTGGATTCCTTCACTGAAAAGTATGAGAATGAAGAGCAGCGAATCAACGCGAGGAAAGCGGCCCGGGAGCAGAGGCGGGCTTCGGTACCATGGCTCTGCTTCTGTAGCCACAGGGCACTTGTCGGTTGGACCAGTCTGTCCTTAGGAACAGCTCCCTCACGACCGCTGGCCTCCCTCATAGTCACTGATGCAAAGGTCTTGTGAGACCGTCCCATGGGCTTGGCAGATTTCCAGGGGAAACGCAGTTCGTGTTCCTTGACTGCCTTGCTCGGGGGGTAGAACTCTGTCACACCCGTCACCGACACGAACCTTAGCTGCTGGTCTGGGGCCTGGAAGTGCGGGGTCCCCAGTCCCCCAACACGCATCCAGCTGCTTGTCCCCTCGCACAGAGTTTGAATTGTCACTGCCAGCCACCACGTTCCTGTACCTGCAGACGTTGTCAGAGGTACCTGGACGAGGTGTGCTTCCTGTGACGAGGACACACCCCCGCCACCACCCCTACGCTGTCATCCAGCCCAACCGAGTGTGGCCCAGAGCCATGCACGTGAGTGAGGCAGCTTCACTAGTAGGTGCTGAGGTAGAAGCTGCCACGTGTAGTCATGAGGAAAAAATGCCTATTTGCTCCAAGAACAGGGTTTTTAATCTTTTTTTTAAAGATTTTATTTATTTATCTTTAGAGGGGAAGGGAAGGAGAGAGGGAGAGAAATATCAGTGCGTGGTTGCCTCTAGTGCCTCACCTGCTGGGAACTGGCCTGCAACCCAGGCGTGTGCCCTGACTGGGAATCGAACCGCGGTTGTTTGATTCGCAGGCCCCCGCTCAATCCACTGAGCTACACCAGCCAGGGCAGGGGTTTTAAATTATGTGTATTTTTTGTACCTCCAAGGCTAAAGAATTGCCTCCGAAACCATCGTCCAGAACTCCACAACCGGCGCAAGGCCAGCTGACCTCTGGCTCTCAGGGTAAATATTTTTGTTGCAATCCTAATGCAGTTATAATTAAACAAGTATTAAGTATTATTGCTAAGAAAAGGAGCTACATTGTTAAGCTTTACAGTCAACTAAAAGAGCTAATGGGTGTTAGAGAAAAACAAATGGTCAGCCTCTTCAAACACGTGAGACAAATTCTCGTTGCTGCTTGTTAGAACTTCTTGTGCGTTAGATGCTTCTCCAATTTACAGAGGTTGGTCTTTAAAGGTCTCATTTGCCGTTGTTTCCAAAGATCGTTACCCTACTGACGTGAACGGGAACAACATAAGCCTATTTTTCTCATGTACTCATAGGTGTGTAGTTCTGAATATGGGTTTTGCCACACATCTTGGGAGTCCAGGACTTTGTGGGATTGTACATTGACACCACTGCCGTTTGGGCTTCACTCCTCTTCCCACCACTCACTCATTTTTATGACCGTCCCTCTCAGGAGGCTGCTTTTCGTGCATCGAGGTCACCAGGGAGTGGCGGTTTATGGAAGTGGGTTAGGGTCCCCTGGACAAGCAGCCGTGCTCAGGAGGTACTGTGCCGGCCAGGAGGAGAGGCGCGCGTGTGCGGAAGTGGCCACGGTCCCTGGAAAGAAGTCTGGTGTCTGGGGAGAGCCTGGGAGTGAACCTGCCTCGGCAGGAGGCTTGTCCTGCATCCCCCTCTGCTCTGCTCCGCCTAAGTCCACCCTCCCAGCAGGGCAGACGGCATAGCCACTGGGGGCGGGGGCAGGGGGGGGCATGGATGACTTGACAGATGCAGCCTCCAGACCTCCAGCTGCCAGAGTCGTTCTTTCCTAAAGCTGGTGCAGCCGAGAATGGGACAGGCTCTTTGCCCTGCCTTCGGTCCTTTTCCAGTGGTTGCCCTTTTTTTCACTTGAGTAGGAAAAACGAACCCAAATCATCCTGAGTCACATGGTGCTACATGGTCCCCCGAAAAGTGAGAACAAGGGTCCAGTTCGAAGTGTGGATGCCAATAGAGTTGGTACATGGTTCTCATGAGCAGCAAATAGTTTTCTTAATCAGTTAGTTTCCCTTGTATAGTATTATCATTAAATATTATTGTATATTACATATTAATCACTGCTTATTATTTTAAAAACCACATAGTTATCACCAAAATGTTATAATAGTAATATAATATTTTATAAATAATACTTGATTATTGTTGTTTTGATGGTATATAACTGTGATTCTTTTTTTTACCTCTATCTCCAAAGGAACATAAAATAATTGTTATATTGATATAAAATACCTTCTTCTACCTCTATTTAAGTTTTTAAAAAACATTTAATTTATTTATTTTTAGAGAGGGGAAGGGAGGGAGAAAGAGAAGGAGAGAAACATCAATGTGTGGTTGCCTCTTTTGCGCCCTGTACTGGGGACCTGGCCCACAATCTAGCCATGTGCCCTGACTGGGAATGGAACCAGTGACCCTTTGGTTCCCAGGCCTGTGCTCAACCCACTGAGCCACACCAGCCAGGGCTCAATTTAGTTTTTATAAGAATCAGCTTTCTTAGCACTTATATCTTTTAAAAAAGAATTTAATGTTGAACCTCTCTGATGTTGAACTTATTTCTCATTGTAGAAATAAGAAATAGTCATTCTGTGAACATCAACTAATTTTAAAAGTCTCATTCATGTACTGATATGCATTTCAAATACAGTTTTACTTTTGTTTAGTAAGTTAACAAGTTTGTAATATGTTTAAGGTTTTGATGAATTGTGTACAAATGATTACAGTAATAACTTAATCTATAAGAAATTATTTAGTAGATTAAAATGAAGGAGAGAATCCTAGAAGCAGCAAGAGATAAGGGGACAGTCACCTACAAAGAAGTCCCCATCAGATTGTCAGCAGATTTCTCAAAAGAGACCTTACAGGCAAGAAGGGGCTGGAAAGAGGTATTCCAAGTCATGAAATCCAAAGACCTACAACCAAGATTGCTCTATCCAGCAAAACTTTCATTTAGAATGGAAGGACAGATAAGGTGCTTCTCAGATAAGATCAAATTCAAGGAGTTCATCATCACCAAGCCCTTATTATATGAAATGTTAAAGGGACTTATCTAAGAAAAAGAAGTTAAAGAAACATGAACAGTGAAAGGACAGCAAACTCACAGTTATTAACAACCACACCTAAAACAAAAGCAAACTAAAAGGACAGCTAGATCAGGAGTGGAAACATAGAAATGAAGATCTCAAGGAGGGTTAGCAACAGGGGAGTGGGAGGAGGAGAAGGGGGGAGAAGGTACAGAAAATAAGTAGCATAGACAGTAGATAGAAAATAGATGGGGGGGCAAGAATAGCATGGGAAATATAGAATCTAAAGGACTTGAGACACATGGTCATAAACTAAAGGGAGGGTAATGGTGGGGATGGGGGGGTAGGGTGGAGGGGAATGAAGGGGGGAATAGAACAACTGTAACAGCATAATCAATAAAAAAATTTTTAAAAAAAGAAATTATTTAGTAGAGTCTTGCGTTTACTTCAAATGAAATTTAGAAAATGAGTGTCTATACACATCTTTGTTGTAGAAACTGTTACACGGAAAATGTAATATTTGGAGCATTGGAGACTTGCTCCCGGCGTCTGTCATCAGTTTGGCTCAAATCGAGTCTCAGAAAATATGACATTAACATATTAACACGAAATCTTTGGGACAGATGGCATGAAACGTGATTTGAAGGTTAGCAATGAATATTGCATACTTTCTCACTATTAAAAAATGCTTGTTTATTTTCTTTAATGACTGATAGTGGATTTAAGATCACTAAGGTATTTAGAGTCTTTTATCCAAAAAATGATATATGATTATTTCATTTAAATAATTGATAATGGCCCTGGCTGGTGTGGCTCAGTGGGTTGAGCACAGGCCTGGGAACCAAAGGGTCACTGGTTCCATTCCCAGTCAGGGCACATGCCTGGGTTGCGGGCCAGGTCCTCAGTAGGGGGCGCAAGAGAGGCAATCACACATTGATGTTTCTCTCCTTCTTTTTCTCCCTGCCTTCCCCTCTCTAAAAATAAATACATAAAATCTTCAAAAATTTTTGATAATGACACATGCTAAAAAATACACCCTTTACAAAATCTAAGTTGTGTTAAAATTTTTAGGTGTTGATTAAGAAATATACAAGTGGATACATGCTATTTAAACATTGTTTTAGGAGTTAAGCAAGCATGGAAGTTCAAAGATCACCGGCTTGGGGGTTATAGGTTCAGGTGCTTTTGATCATTTCCATGCAAAGGTATCTGCGTTCGCCGTGGACGCCACTGCAGGGCACGTGGGTATCACGCGCAGCATCAGCCTTGCTTTTGGTGTATTTTCTGGGTTTTTCAGTCATTCCTTCTGGATGAAACCAGATAAAATAATGATATTTCTATCAATTATAGGACCGAAGATACCTGCTTAGCAAGGACAAGGTTTGGCATTCTTAGGTACTTTATAAACAATGAAAGCTCTAAGTGCTCCCTCTTGTTTTCTTTTTTCAGGTAACAGAAATGAATACAAGCTCTACCCCGAACTTCCCAGCTACCATGAGAGAATTGGTAAATAAAAACATCTATATCCTTCTCATCATCACGAACTACTCTGGCAGGTTGTGAAACACCTCTTTGATTTTCAGGCTATCCATATTATTTTAAGAAATACTTTATTTTGTTTTTAAGTGTTACATTTTTCTCCTCACCCTTGCTTGAATTTGAGGCTATACCAGTGATGCGGAAGCCGCAGCAGAGAGCAGCCCCGGAGCCCGTGGGCGCTGCGGTGCTGAGCCGGGCACAGGCCTTTGGGGGCGTGGCCGGGGCGGGGGCTTGGCCGGGGGCTTGGCCGGGGTGGGGGTGGCGGGCACCGGTCAGGGACCAGTAGCCGTCTGCTGACTGCGAAGTGCAGCTGCATCCTTACTGATTTTCTCCGGGTTCGAGCCCCATGCATATCTTTAGTATCTTTAAGGAAAGTCTTATTTTTCAAGTTCAAATATTTTTACTGTTATGGGGAACAGCTTCATAAAACTGTACTAGGATTTTCTACAATAAAAATAGCCCTTCAATCTGTCTTACTTTAATATTCTTTAGAAAATGTTCTCTGAAAGAATTCAGCAATCAGTTGGAGATGTGAGTGGGACCCGGATCCAGGGCAAAGGGTAAACAGTTGTTAAATAGCTGATTTATTTTCCCACATGTCAGTTGTCATGGCACCCAGAACCCCACACTCTGGATTAACTGGTGGAGAATCATGTAAAAAGAATATCAAGTTAACCAGGTGCCCATCTTTTTAATTAATCAAAATATTTCAGGAATGTCTCTTAAACCAAGCCCCCTGAACACAAGTCACGTGGTGGGTCACGGGTTCAGGCCCTCCTTGCTCACAGCCCCGGCTGCTCTGGCTGGGCCTTTACTCCCTGCCCTTTGCCCAGGTGACTCCTGAGAGTCCCAAGGTCCAGCGTGGAGTTGGCCCCCCTGCTCACCCCCCACCTGCCATGCCCGGTGGGGACGCTGCGGACTCAGGTGCAGAGAAAGCTCTGCAAGATCAAAAAGAACCTACTTAGCTCTTTGTGACGCTTTGGTCGGGGGCAGGTCCCCGGCAGGGACACTGAGGGGCAGGGGCCTAGTGGTGGGACATGGGGACCGAGGCTCTAGTGCCTAATAAATACTAGAAGTGTCTCTGAAAAGGCACTGAGGGAAAATGTTTGATGAAAAGAAACAGAATCTTAGCAGGGCACTGGAGGCAGAGACCGGACGTTGGGACCTTTTCTGCCCACGGTTGGCTGGTTGGCAGCTTTTGTGTTTATATTTGAAGGCAGCGCAAGTTCAGTTGTACAAACTGCAGGACCTGGGTTAATATTAATAGGGAGTTATTTTAGTCCTTTCTCCACAGATAAGGATTTTTGAAGGAAAAAGGGAAAACTTAAAATGCATTTTGAAATCAACGTTGCTCTGCGTTGCTGTGATTTGTGGAAAGTGGTGTAGAACGCTGGTGCACTCCTACCAGGACTTGGCCACGTCCTGGCTGGCGGCCCACGTGGAGAAGAGCCGCAGCCCCGGGCCCCAGGCCCAGGCTGACAACCCACTTGGGCGGAACGCCTCGCGCGTACTGGTCCAGTTGTTGTGAGGGTCGTGCGCAGGACGGGCCGCCCATTCAGTGTTTCATCGATGGGGTTTAATTAAAGTGTTGGCCATTTTTATTTCTTACTAACAGGCCAAGTTCAGTTGTTTTTATTTTAATACTACAGGATCAAATAAAGAACTGATTTTAGAATTTGCTTGTTTTCAGTGCATCTGTGCTTAGATGCAGTTAACAAGCCTGGAATTGCATGGTTCACATGCAGTTAACATGGAACGTAGGAATCAAATTCCGTGCCGCTGAGTGCATGGAAGTCTGTTTATATGTTCATGATGCTGCAGTTTACATTTAATGCCTTGTACTCATGTTAACCACTCAATTCTCAAAGTATTTTTCCTGATACAGTACATTAAATTCTACACATTGTGTTTAAGTTTTTGTTAAACATGTGAAGATCTGCCTCTTGATGTCATCATTTCAATGTCGTCTCTGTGTTGAGAGAAAGGACCAACAAGCACAGAAATGGAAGCGGCCGGGCAGCCTGGGGGCGGGGGTGCTGGCAAAGCAGCACAGTGCTCACGTCGGAGCCAGAACCCCGGCCCGGTGACCTCGGAGCAAACACAGTGTCCGTCAGTCCCCTGAGGCAGCTGCGAGTTACGGAGCCACCGAGACTCCATGTTAAAATAGGAAAAGTGCAAATAATAGTATCCCATAGGTCATTCACAAGTCTAACAGTAATAACCACGGATATTTGCTAAATGCATTGCTAAGTGCATAGTGGCACGCAGTTTGCCTGGTGTGCACTTAGTAGGTGTTATCACCAAACATTTGCTCCTTGCCAGGAAGAAAAGCACGCGTGGTGCTGTGCTGGAGGGTCTGCCGGGCACTGGACCCCCGGCCAGGCCTTCACGCTTCACCTTCACGTGCTCCCCATTCTTCCCGTGAAAGTGGGAATAACGTCAGCATTTCTTCCTGTTTCAGGCGATTCAAACCGGCCCATAGAAGTGACCGCTCTGTACTCTTTCCAAGGACAACAGCCGGGGGATCTGAGTTTTCAGGCTGGAGACAAAATCACAGTCACGTCGAAGTCAGAGTCGCACTTCGACTGGTGGGAGGGGAAGCTTCGAGGCCAGACCGGCATTTTTCCAGCCAACTATGTGACCATGAATTAAAGTTCGTTATTTTCTTCTCTGAGAATTACAAAAAGTAATTATTTCCACACTAACAGGATTTACTGTCCAGTTAAGCACTGTTTTCTGTAAGTTTAAAAATTTGACAAGAATAAGAAATAAAAGGCATCCAGGTTGGAAAGGATAAATGTTTTACTTTATGTAAAGGAACTTGTTTTTTCATCTGCAAATAAATGATTAACTTACACATCTTTAAATGCTTTGTACTAATTTTATCACATATGCTATTTAATAGTTAAGATCCTCAATTTATATGGTCACAGTCCTTTTGTGTTTATTTTCAAACATCACTAAACATTTGATTTGGCAATGTATATGGTAGCTGTTTATTTTAATTTAAGAATCTTGAGGGTAGAGGCATAAATACCAATACATTTGTTTCAATTTGCAAAAAAGAGAAAATCAGCTTCCATAGGGTAGCAGTAGTAATACTTAGAGCCGTAGGTGTTACCCAGAATATGAATCCTTAAAAATTATCTTTACACCTTTAAAGATTATGTATAGACATGTATAGTAGGAATGAACTATTTAAAAGATGTTCAGCTACTATGCACTTGAAAAAGATAATATCCACTAATTTTTTTCTTTATAAGGGTATGATGTTCATCTCCAGCAGTCGAATGCACTTACATTGACGTGGTTTATCTGTCCCTAAATAAAGGTGTTTTCATGTAAAGCTAATGTCTGGATTCTGTTTTCCTCGTGTCCTTGTGCAAAGAAAGTGGGCCCTGTGGTTCATCTGCAGGTTAAAACCCGCCTCCGCGATTGGGCTGCCGAGCTGTTTGTAAAGCTTCATTGATGTCTAATCGACACATCAAAATGTAAAGTATTTAAAGGGCACAGTACTATAATACACATATACACCGCGGAAGGAGGGGTCCCCACCAAGTCAACACAGCCATCATCTCACATACTTACTGTTTTTTTTCTTGGCGGGAACTACTCTTTTAGCCACAGCCAGTTACACAATACAGTGTTGTCAGCCAGGGTCACAGCGCCCCACTGCCCATCACCAGGACACGTTCCTGTGAGAACTGAAAGGTTTTACCCTTGGACCAGCATTTCCCCCCTGCTCAGCCCTGGTGAGCCCTGATCGCTCTTTCTACGAGGTCATCTTCTTTTATATTTCCATATAAGCAAGATCATACAGTGTCTGCCTTTCCCTGGCTGACTACTTCACTTAGCATAATACCCTCAGTCATCCCTGCTGCTGTGAATCCCAGGACTTCCTTTATTAAAGCTAAAAACAATTCATATGTAAATGACTATCCATTCACCTGCTGATGAGTTCTTAGGATTTTCCAAGCATCGTGTCCTCTGCAAACGTAGGTAACTTCTTCCTTTCCGATTTGGGTGCTTCTTATTCCTCATTCCTGGCCGCTGCTGTGGCCAGGACCCCCGGGGCTGTGTGCACAGAAGTGGCCTGAGCGACCCGTTTGTTCCTGATCTTAGAGGAAAAGCATGGTATTGAATCCTCACATATTTGTGAACTTTCCGGGTTTTTTTCTTATAAATGATTTCCAGTTTCATACCATTGTGGTCAGAAACAATGTTTGATACAATTTCAATCTTCTTAAATCTTTTGAGACTGGTTTTGCGGCCTAACATACGCCCTGAAGAATGTTCCGCGTGCACCCGAAAGGCACAGTCAGCCGGCCCCGACTGTTGCCACAGCCGCCAGTGTGGGTGCCTGACTCCAACATGGCAGCTGGGTGCTCATCTTCACAGCGGTGCCCTCGCCGGCAACGCCTCGTCCTACTATGCACGCTCCTCATCTACATCACACTCACACTTGTTCATTTCTTCTAGTGCGGTTCTTAAGACAAGGAGAAAGGAGAGACTAAAGAGCAGATTGGCATCACCCAGCAAAAAATAAGTAAATAAAAGTGCACAGCATGTCATCTTTTCCAGACTCTTCTCGGTCTCGCTCTCCTTCCAACTCAAAGGCAGCCAGCGTCCTGAATTTGATGCTTATTCTACCTCATTCTATATGTATTTACTATATATGTGTAGTTTTCTAGGCAATACGTGTAATTGTCATGCATGCTCAAAGCTTACAAAATAAGCTCAGAAAAATGAAAATCTTTTCATTCAGTGAATTCATTCATTTGCAATAGAATTATCAAAAACAAACTGATGTATACATTCAAGGAATTAAAAGATAAGGTGAAGAATTTCAGCAGAAGGCGGACACTAAATGGAAAATTTGAAATTGAAAAATAAACTAAGAAAACACTATGTGGACCTAACAGCAATTAAACACAGTGAAGAGCAAACCATCGGACTGAAGGCAGACCAGAAACATGTGTCCAGTGTAACGCAGGGCGTTGAGACTACTGGACATGCAGGGAAGACCGTCCGCCTGCCCGTTTTCCTGACCACACTGACCACGTGGCAGGCTCTCCCGGTGACTGTGGACTCCTGTCGGCTGCCTCCCCCGGCTGCTCTTCCAATCTTTGCACAAGAACTTTAGCATCGACATGACTTCTTCCAGAAAAAAAGACGGTATTTTTAGTGAGAGTGTGTTAAATCCATATATTAACAAAAGGAAAGTATGCATGTGCGTGATGTTCAGTTGGCAAAGCAGAGACGAGGGGCGGAGAGCTGTGTGGTCGCTGCAGAGAGTGTTTTCTGCAGGCGTTTGTGCCCCGGCCAGGGGCCCGCGGATGTTGGTCTGGGTTAAGGTCCCTGTCAGAGATGCGTCTGCTGAAACCACAGCGTGAGGGTTGTTTCTCTTCGCCCACATTCTCGCTCCTGTAACAAGTCCTTCTTGGCCTGTTCCCACAGTCCCTCCCGGGCACGTTGTTTTCACCCGGTTCAGCCGCTGCCAAGAAAAGGGCTCCTCTCTCGCACTCGCTTCACTTCTTACTGTCTTTTGAACATCTTGATGTGTTGCTACACGGTTGGCATCTTATTTGGAATATAGCGCAATAGTTTAAAGGGCGAGTGTGCTTGACTTTCTTACACGAACTGATACTGTCATTACTACCCACGTGGCGCTTGTGTTGTGGCTTCGCGCTCCCTCTACGTTGTTTTCTGCAGATGCGTCTCCGTTCGCCCTCGTATTTAGAGACGTGGTACCGCAGGTAAAGCGTTTCTTACCAATTCACGGTAGTGGAAGGGCTTGGCATGACGGGCTCTGAACTGTCCTCAAACCTGAGGCAGAGAAACCGGGGATACACACCCCCGTCTCCCCTCCACGCCTCCCTTCCTCCTTCCCAGCTCTCCCAGAAAACGCGCCCACGGACATGTTTGTCTGGCTGGCCCCGCGGGGCCTCCCGTCGGCCTCCGGGCGTCTCCGCCCGCCCGCCCCTTTCTCGCGGCTCCAACCTCACGGCCCCTCCGGGGCCGGAGCCGATCCGCTGGGGGCTCCGCCAACAAAGCACGAGAAGGAAGCCGGGGCGGACTGGGTCGATGCCACGGCCGCCTGGATGGCGGAGACTGTGCCCCCAACCCCCGCCGGTGCGCGCCGGCCAGTCCCCGGGCCTGGACACCCACTGCGTGCAGTGAGCACCTCCCACCCGGTTGGGCAGCGCCCCGGGCTGCTCACGTGCCCCGAACCGCCCACGGTCCCCGCACGACCGCCTCCTGCGCTCCCACGACTCGCCCGGAGTCTGTTCTCGTTCTTTCTGTGACCGGGGAGCGATGGGAAAGCCCGGGCCTCCGTGCACCGACCTCCCCCGCTCGCCTGGCGCAGCCGCAGCGGGCCGGGCGCGCCGCACAGACCCCGGGCTGCTGCTGGAGGGACCCTCGCATCCCTCCCGGCGACAGGACCCCACCTCGCCCTTCCGAGGCCGCCTCTCAACGGCCCTGTCCCCCCGCGTGTCCCGGGGACCCAGGGGCCCTGGGAGGGACCAGAAAGCCCGGGCCGGTGACCGGGATGCTGTTTCCGCGGCTGAAACCGCGCTCAGTGCGGGATCAGAGGCGGGTTTGGGACGCGGGGCCTCCGCACTTGGTTCCCCTCCGCCCCGTCGTCTGAGGTCGAACCGGGCTCCATCTCTTCCCCCAAAAGCAGGCGACCCCGCCCCAAATAACCCCCGTTTTTCTTTGTCCGGTAGCCCCCTTGCCCCACCCGTTTGGTGACAGCATCCTTCATCTTTCACAGCCCCTCGGAGCGCCCTTCTAGTTGTTCCCTGGGCTGCTTCGCATTATTTGGCCAATTAGGTCTCCATAGTTTCTCGGTTAATTTTTATTTTAAGACCACCAGGGATGGGCATTCTTCTTCGGCTAATGAAGACGTGCCTGTCCTGGCGGATTAGACGTCCACGGCTCAGCTCATCTTTCCACGCGCTCACCCATAAATGTCACAATGTTTGAAGTGCTCGGTTCCACTCCCAGCGCCCCCGCGCGTCCCGCAGGAGGCCCGGCCCGGGGCGGCGCATCACAGGGCGGCCCCTCCTTTGCTGCTTGGTGCGCTGTGGGTAGAACCCGGTGCGCTGCTCCTCCGCGGTGGCGTCAGATCCTGATTTGGAGCAGGTGATGCCAAGGGGGTGGGGGGGTCTCTGACCCTGAGCCCTTCAAGGGCCTGCAGCTGGGGCCGTATTCGGTAGGTCGCCTGCTCCTAAGGAGGAGGCCACGGGGCTGGCAGGGTGGTGCGGGCGGTGGAGGAGCCGGAGAGTTGGGAAGAATGGTGTCTCAGCCCAAGGCCAGCCGTCCCTGGAGAAGTGGTTGGGGGCTGCTCCTCGCTCCAGTGCGGTTGACGGGCCGAAGTTCAGGGGCCTGGGCAGAAGGGAATCTTCACCGGGCTGTGGCTGACAAAGCATGTTGTCCCACAGATGGGTGGAGACCAAGTAGTTCAGCTAACGTTCACGGGACCAGGCGCGGGGATTTGGAGGGTCTGTGTGTGGCCTTGCAGCTGGTAAGCAGCGGCACCATGTTAGTCTGTCCGGAAGGTGTGCTTTGCAGGCGGCTCTTTCTTGAAACACAAAGGGGAAGCCCAACCTTCCCTGTTTCCCAGGATCCTGAACTTTGGGCCAAAGTTCAGCAGTATTGGAAGGAATAATTTTTGCCCAGGATGGGTTTCCTCCTGAGTTCAATTGTTTATGGAGTTCTCTGTGCCACAGTTTTGTTGAATCCTTGTTTCAGACCCTTGCCAACCACAGAGCATTTAGCCCAGGATGTGGGTGACCTGCGCGGTCAGGTGTCCTTCACCCTCAGAGGAGGGCCCCGTCCTTGGGCAGAAGACCGATTGTCTGGGGACTAAACTGAAACGGCCCTTTGGTTCTGCAGAATGTGGAGGACGAATGCTCTATAATCATCTGGGAAACTGAAGCTCAGGGATTTTAATCACTCCGTTCCCAGAATCACACGGTCTGTGCCCGTGTGCACGCACCGTGAGTTCAGTCTTATTAATGGAGCATGGAGAAACATCTTACTGCGTGAAAACAGCCTTATACCAACAAGCCCTCCAAACATGGTTGAAAATTAAACACCAGAACCCCATGGACGTCGCTGAAGTGCCACAGGCGAGGCACCTCGGAGCAGCCGGAGCCTTGGGCCCCGAGAACGGCCAGACCTCGGAGGCCCCTCGGGCACCACACAACTGAGGGACATGTTGCTTCTGCTGAGCACAACACAATTTGCTCTGATGATTTAAAACAAGAGCCCCTGGTGACCTGGCTTCGGACGTGTTCTCGGTGCAGGTGGGACGTTGCCCAGGTAACTGG